CGGTTATGTCCAACTAGGCTTTGGATGAGGACAAATTTTGAAGGGATGCTTAGGCAACTCTTGGAAAGCTCATTCACAACTTTAAAAGAAGATTTTGGCCGAAAATTAGAGAGGTCATGGATGTTAGAAAGGTCCTTGATGTTGGAAAGGTCCTGGAGGTTAGAGAGGTTCCATTAGTGTATAGAGAATTTACTAGAGTGTCAAAAGTGTGAGGAATTCTTCGAGAGATTGTAAGAGTGGAGGGAAAGTGAGAGATTTCTTCCTCCTTACCGCTTCAAAAAGGAATTTTGTGTGTTGTAAAAAAAGGAAGAGATTCAGAGGAACTTTGAGGAGTTTTCTTGGGGAGAAATTAGAGATAAGTTTATTTATTTTTGTAGTCTGTATGACTTTGATTTTATATATGAATTCTGAGTTTTGTTATGTTTTCCCCAAGAGATCTGATTAGTTTTCTCTGTCTTTCTTCTTATCTTGAGATTTGTGAAATGGTGATTTGAATTGGTAGAGCCATGAAAATATTTAAGAAAGTGTGATGATCTTTTCACTTTGATCTTAATTTACTTTCAATCTGGCCAATTGATTTGTTAAAATATGTTGAGTTTTACAACTAAAGTGAAGATTACAACCAAAATTCAGGGAGGTCAAAGCCCTTGGAAGTTGGGTGCAAATAAATAAGGAAATAAAATTTTGGGGCGTAGAATTGGAGATTTTAGAGTGACAGACTAAAATCCCCAATTTGGTTCTATCGTTTGGGTGTTGAAGTGTAGATGTTAGCTTTAAGGCGAGGGGAACGTGGGAGCTCCGAAATGAGACCCAGTATACTCCCAACCTAGCCGCAGATTCAGTAAACAAGCGTAGGATTAGTCAATGTTCTTTATGGCTGGACCAAAGCGTAAAGAATAGGTATGCTCCTATTTAGCACAATATAATTTGAACTAATTCATTTTATCAATTCACTATAATTTCTTGGCAAGGAGAATGATGCTTTCTTATATTGAATATCACATTTGAACCTTCATTAGTTTATTTAGTTATTTAAAAGTTATTAAAATTACATATTTATTTCAATTGCCTATTAGTGACAGATAAGCAATTTGAACTTCGTTGTTGCAATTAAAGTATTGCTTTTCTAAAATCTTAGTTCGTAGTTCTAATATTACTCCCTGTGGGATCGATATCTAGGACTCCATTAGAGCCCTATATTACTTGAGCGATACTTATACTTGCGTTGATAAGTGTGACTTTTCAGTTATTGAGTATTTATTATGTCCATATTTATCGAATCTATAACTGTTATTAAGTTTTGGTACAGTTGCAGAGGGATTAAATCTTTTAGCAGCAGTATTAAATACTTATTTTTTAAGCCTATATAAAGTCGTAGTCAGGTTTTTGACACTATTGTCGGGGAGTGAGTAAACAAAAATTACAATTAGAGTAACAGACAAATTAGGATTATTGGAAAATTATTACTTGAATTGCAACTTATTTTCATATATTGTTAGTGATATTACTGCATACTGATTTCAAATTGTATACGTAAATTTAGACCTGAAAAT